ACTTCCATTTTACCATGTAGATTATTGGTTTTATTCCAGTTATTCCCTTAATTTGTTATCCTCTGATTACATTTTCATCTTTTTTGCATTAATTCATAGTTTGTACAAAAGCTACAAATGAAATGCAGATTTGAATATATATTTTTTGCCCTCCACCTGGCAATTATTTGGTTATATATAAAATTGTAGGGCCACTGTCAACGTAAGGAACATTCAAACCTATAGAGAATTTTTGTGAGCCAAACTGTCGACAATTTCCGGGAAGCAAAATCTCAAAGGATTGAGAAAATGCTCCAGAGAATGGCAGTTTTTCACTTTTTAATACATTACAATAAAAAGAGAAGATGTAAGTGGGTTACATACAATCTACTGGTGATAGATTTGAAAAGCAGGAGAAAGAAAAGTGGGAAACCTCTGGGATTGGATAAACAGTAAAATGAAAGATACATACTTCTTTTACATTGGTGGGTACAGGATAGTTAACAGTCAACAATTAACTCAATAACAGTGAGGGGATTTGTGGTCTCTACAGAGTGGTGCCTGAACATGAGGGGTACAGAAAAAAGGAAATTACTTTCACATCCAAAGGTATTTATCATAGATGCAAAAAGACAATAGACAGGCTTAGTTAAGGTTAAAATTGATCTTTGTCAGAGAAGATTTCTAGCTAGGATATGACTACCCACCACAAACTGCTTTTAGTTTAAAAGTTTTAATTTCAGATCATCCTTTGTGGTTATTTTAGGTCTCTGTGTTTGTAAGGTTGCCACGGAGGTCTTGTTTTCCACTGTATACCTTTATCCAGAGTTCCAGAAGAGATGGTTGATGCTTGTTTAATTCCTATCTTTCTAGGACACCTGTCAAGGAATTATAAATTCACATCTTACTAAAGACAAATAGTTCAATGAAAACATGTTTGGGAACATGTGTACCTCCTTTGAGATGTCAAAGACATCTTCGGAAAACCCATGAGAAACAATTTATTTAGAAGTCATGAACTTGAATTCTCTAGCTTAAATCAATGAGAGGGAAATTTCTGGGGGGTGGAAGTCTACAGAGATAAAGGCATCTAGAAAGGAGTCTGATTTATTTTGCATATTCTCTCTTTGCAACTGAAGTAAATGGATAACTTAGTGAAATTTAATTAAGAAGTCTCCCTCTCCTCTCTTCTCCTCTCCTCTCCCTCTCTTTCTCTACACCCTCAAACTCAGATACTATTAAATCAATATTTGCTTTGAAAAGGCTGTTGCACAGTAAAACTTATGTGTATGTCACAAGACACATGAGAAACTGCAGTGAGTATGTGGATTTGCTTTTTAAATCTTTCTAAATATTCTTATGCATCCTCTTAACCTGCTGGAACTTGGAAATTTGTTAAACATAAGAGACATGGAATTGGAATAGTCAACTTTCAACATAGGAAAAAAGCTCAGACCATTCAACAAATGGGCAAAGAAAATAGCTACTAAAAAGGGAATAGGAATTTAATACCCTAACACAAACTTGGTAGAATTAAAGGAAATATTTATAAAATTGTAGAAAATATATTTATAGACTTTTTGTCTATAAAATAAAATTGACATAATTATGAGAGGTGATTAATGATTTTTACTTTAATTTAAAAATCTAGTCACTAGTTTAGAGTACTTCAATTTCAAGTTTTACCATTTTCAATTTGGCTAGGCTATCATGAGATTGCTGCTATCAAACTCTATAATATTAGCAATAGGAGACATATTAGTAGAGTATAAATGATGATAAATAGAATAAATTGAGTCTTTTTAGTTCACTGCATTGTATAATCACTAGTCCAAATCAATTAATGTATTGTCTTGATCTTTTTTTTTTTTTTTTTTTTTAGAATTCTGGGTACTTGATAAAATCTTGAGTTGGTAAAGCAACTTTTTCATTGGTCTCAACAGGATACTGAGGCACAGCATCAAGAAATGCACTTACAGCCCTAGCTGGTTTGGCTCAGTGGAGAGAGCATTGGCCCTCAGACCAAAGGGTCCTGGATTCAACTGCAGTCAAGGGCATAAAGCTCAGTTGCAGGCTGGATCTCTAGCCCTGGTTGGGGGCACGTGTGAGAGGCAACCAATTGATGTGTCTTTCTCACATCAATGTTCTCTTTGTCTCTCCCTCTCCCACTCTCTCTAAAAGTCAATGGAAAAATATCCTCTGGTGAGGATTAACAAACAAACAAACAAACAAAAAACCCCAACTCCACAAATAAACAAAAAAGGGATTATGAGGCCTTTATACTAAACTAGAGGCCCGGTGCACAAAAATTTGTGCACTCGGGGGGGGGACGGGGGGATCCCTCAGCCAGGCCTATGCCCTCTCGCAGTCTGGGACCCCTCGGGAGATAATGACCTGCTGGCTTGGGCTTGCTCCTGGGTGGCAGAGGGCAGGCCCAATCCCTAGGTGCAGCCCCTGGTCGGGCTCAGAGCAGGGCCAATTGGGGAGTTGGGGCACCGCCCCCTGTCATGCACAGAGCAGGGCAGATCAGGAGGTTGCGATGCCACCCCTAGTCACGCTCAGGGTAGGGCCGATTGGGGGGTTGGGACACCGCCCCCTGTCACACTCAAGGCAGGGTCGATGGGGAGGTTTCGGCGCAACCCCATCACACACAGAGCAGGGCCCATGGGGGGGAGGGGGTTGGGGCGCTGCACCCTGTCACACACAGAGCAGGGCCAATCAGGGGTTTGGGGCGCCGCACCCTGTCACACATAGAGCCGCAGGGCGATCAGGGGGTTGGGGCGCCGCACCCTGTCACACACAGAGCAGGGCTGATCAGGGTGTTGGGGCACCGCCCCCTGTCACACACAAAGCCGCAGGGCGATCAGGGGTTTGGGAGCTCCTCCCTATCAGGCACAGAGCAGGGCTGATCAGGGGGTTGGGGCGCCTTCCCCTGTCAGGAACAGAGCAGGGCGGATAGGGAGGTTGTGGCCCCACCCCCTGTCACACACAGACCTGCAGTTCCATAAAGGGGCTTGGTCGCTGCCTCCTGCCATGCTGATCCCGGTGCTGGGAGGCATATTACCCTTTTACTATATAGGATAGAGGCCTGGTGCACGGGTGGGGGCAGGCTGTTTTGCCCTGAAGGGTGTCCTGGATCAGCGTGGGGGTCCCCACTGGGGTGCCTGGCCAGCCTGGGTGAGGGGATGATGGCTGTTTGCATCTGGTCACACCCCCTTCAGTGTGGGGGTCTCCACTGGGGTGCCTGGCCAGTCTGGGTGAGGGGCTGAGGGCTGTTTTCAGGCTGGCGGTGACTGAAGCTCCCAACCTGTGCTTTTTTCCTTTTTTTTAATTCTGGGCCAGCTTTAGCTCTGAGGCTCGGCTCCAGCTATGAGACCTCCGCTGCTAAAAGCAGATTTCTGGCCTTTGTTTACCTTCTGTATTTGATACAATGTTGCGGTCCGGCTGGCTGAAACCCGGCTGACTGAAAGGAGGTTTCTGGGGTTTTGTTTAGCTTCTATATTTGTTACAATGTTTCTTAGAGAGCAGCTGAGAGGCCGACAAGGCAGGCAGGGAACCTGGCTTCCTCCGTCACTGGATCAAGCAAGCCTCCCTGTTCGCATCAGCTGCCTGGCTGCCAGCCGCCATCTTGGCTGGCAGTTAATTTTCATATCTCCCTGATTAGCCAATGGGAAGGGTAGCAGTCATACGGCTAATTACCACATTTCTCTTTTATTAGATAGGATGTGATAAAATTCATATCTCTAAGTTCTGTTGGAAAATACCTATGTGTCAAGGGTTCTTGAAAAAGAAATAAAAAAAGAAGAAGTAATGCACTTATAGCCCAATGAACCTGAAAATAGGATTGTTTCTTAGCAAGACTGGTCTCCTCCACTGTGAGAGACAGTAAAACTTCTCCTTGACTCTAACCCTGCTTTTAATCCCACTGGGTTAATAAGTAAACCTGACTTCAGTGGAAGAAATTGGCTACAGGCCCCTTACTACCTCCCCCACCATTAATCCATGCCTATGGATGCAGGGATAATCATTGGGCAGTTGCTCTTGGTGGCAGAAACTAGGAATGAGAAGCATAAATCTGTATTGTTGGAAGCACACACGTGTCCCTTGCATTGGTTTAATCTCAACTAACAGACTGTTTCTCAATATTACAGAAGTAATGAGGAGTCTGACTGTGTGATCCCTTGTGTCTGACCACAGGAAATTGCAAAGGCCTTGCCTAGCAGGCCCTGTGTGGAAAGGCTGTCCTCTCCACATGGGGCTTGGTGCACAGTCAATGCCTTGCAGTCAAGGACTCAATCCCCCATCCCGAGGGGGCATATCTGTATTCCTAGCCCAGGAGGCCTTTTGGAGACCTTATTGGGGGCCTCAGCTGAGATCCTTTCCAGTCACCTTTACTGAAATCTTTTTATTGGGGGGAGAGGGTTTGTCTTGACTACAACATTCTTCACTCTGACTCAGTATTTTCCATTCCCAGTCCTTTCTGCCTCTTTCTCTTCCTACCCCCACTTCACTCAAACTCCATAAAACTGCAAAGCCTTTTGTTCAGTGCTCCTTTGTAATGAGGCACAATTTTCCCACCAGCACAGCATGACACCTGATCCTAGTCCAGTGCTGGTCAATGGAGCAAATGGAAGAGTGAGGAGCCAGCACTACTTTCCTTTTTGGCTTCTTATACCATAACAGGTGGATAAAGTTTTGGCTATTACTTTCAGTTTGGCTTGTTAGTCTAATTGACCACCTCAACATGCAGCAGCTCTCCACAGGGAAAGGCAAGAGTCAATGGATGCAAAGATGAAAAGAGAAGTACCCATTCTTTGTGGTTCTCTAGGGTATGAGCCTTTTTTGGTTAAGTAAAAATTATAAGGTCAAAATTTATAATAGAGATCTTAACTTAGACAGGAATTATGAGGGCCTGTAGGGAGAGGTCTCTGGTGGTACAATTGGTTAGCATAAGGTACTTTAACAGCAGTGTGTAGGTAGGTGATGTGGTTTAAAAACCTAAAGTTTTGCCCGGCTGGCAGGGCTCAGTGGTTGAGCGTAGATCTATGAACAAAGAGGTCATGGTTCAATACCTAGTCAGAGCAGGTCATGCCTGGGTTGTGGGCTTGATCCCCAGTGAGGGGTGTGCAGGAGGCAGCCAATCAATTATTCTCTCTCATCATTGATGTTTCTATCTCTCTCTCCCTCTCCCTTCCTCTCTAAAATCAATAAAAACATATTAAAAAATAAACCTCAAGTTTTAAAACCATCAACATTCTATATTGTTCATAATAACCACCATAGATTTGCATTCTATATATTGGAGGGGAGAATCTGTTGGTAATCAAAAATATATATTTGCATAGCCTTGCCTACCTTTTTAAATGGAACTTCTTAAGATTGTAGATTTCACTGGTGGAACACAAGTGTCAAGTATTACATTTTTCTTTCCTAGTGACTAATTCTACATTTCCTTCATTTTCATAAGAAGTCTATATTAGCACAATAAATCCAGGACTTTCATCTTTAGGCATTAGTTAGGGATGTTTCAAAGTTATTTGCCCTCCTGGGAACATACGTTCAGAAATGTTTCTGGTCCAGCTTCTGTGGACACTTAAAAGTTTCTGAAAGAGAAACTATAATATTAAGTTTTCAATTCTGCCTTTGAGATCTAAATGGAAGAAAGCACCTCTGGTTTATGAAGAGCTCAGGATACAGAAAGCATTAATGAGTGTTTTTGTATAAAATGGCGGGGCCTTCAAAGTTTACTAAGAGAGTTGTCACATCATGAAGTCAGACTGAGACTGGCATTGAAATCTGAGGCACTAACACCAGCAGAAACTCCAGGAGTCTACAATCAGGACTATGCCTTACATAGGGCATAGATTTTTTTTCTTCCTCCAGCTATTAAGGCACAAGGACTGGAAAGGTCACCTCCTGGGACATCTGCAGGTCAGTCAGGTGAATGGTACCTTCTGAGTTACCTCCCTTCCCATCCCATTTACCTCTGAATCTAAAGTAAATAAAGGAAATGATCATGGTGATGAAGACAGTCAGAACACACAGGATCACCGTGATATCTTCCAACCACATAGTATCCAATTGGAAATGTGGATCTGAAGCAGGAACTGAAGAGAGATGCAATAATTAGGAGGGTTACAGATTTATAATAGATTTACTTTTCAAGTTCCTATTCCTCCATACTTCTGGGCTTATATGAGGGTGGGGAGAAGTAGGGTGGGCCCTGTGGATGATCCTGGAGATGAGTATACTTGGGCTCAGTCTGGAAGAGGGGGGTGTAGGCACAGATACACATTCTTCTACTCAAGAAGCATGACACTTGTTTTCTAATTGGCCACAGTTTGAAGCATAAATAGGAACTTTATGTCTTTGTCTTTTTTAATGCCTTTATCTTTTTAATCTGGTGCTGTAGGCCCTCAAGAATTCCAGGCCTTGTCCAGCCAGTGTGGCTCAGTGGTTGAGAGTCGACCTATGAACCAGGAGGTCCTGGTTTAATTCCCAGTCAGGGAACATGGCCAGATTGAAGGCTCAATCCCCAGTAGGAGGCAAGTAAAAGGTAGCAGGTCAATGATTCTCTCTCATCATTGATGTTTCTATTTCTCTCTCTCCTTCTCCTTTCCTCTCTGAAGTCAACAAAAAATTTTTTTAAAAGACTCCAGACCTTTTGAGAGGTATGGTGAAACAAAATAGTTTACAATGAGCAGAATCTCTGAGGTAGAAGAGATCTTACAATTCTCAAAAGTCATCCTCTTATCCGGAGCAGAAGTCTCCTTTAAAAAAGTATCCCTTTTGGGTGATTCTAAAGTAGAAAACATCCCCATCTCATAATATTGGTTAATATATCTTGGGATGGGATCACCATTACCAACAGTGAGGGTATCTGTTTCATTACTGGACAGCTATGCATACTTTCCTATATTAACTGTAGTTTGCCTCCCTGATAGGGATTGTTCATGGATTCCTAGTGAAGGAGTTCAAAACAGGCCTCCCCAGTATATATTACTTTGGCTTGGGGATTATTTTGAGCTGAAGGCAACAAAAATTTTATCTCTCCCTTAAAAAATTTAAATCGGGTCCTTGTCCATTATATGAGTTATTATCAGAGATAACCTTATGTGACAGATCTATAGGGCAGGGAAAACTTCTGATTACTGTACAGCTGCTCTTATTATTGTTCTGTGAATTGCCCTTCTCCCCTCTGTAGCCCCTGGCATCTTGCCATATTCCTTAGCTCAGAATGTCATATACATCTCATTTTAGCTTTCTGTCTCGAAACCTCATGTATGTGGGCTCTCTGACTCTCTTATATGAGGAGGGTTCTTGTATATACAGATGCAGTTAAATTTTTTTATTTGTCCCGTTAATCTGTCTCATGTCTATTTAATTATTAGACTAGCTGAAAGAACTTAGAAAGCTAGAGAATAATTTCTTCCTCCCACAACTTTTCTATCTTGTAGAGAAAGACAACCAAGATGGTGAGGATGAGAAAGCGGGGGTCAGAAAGTCTTAAATTCATGTCATCGAAATAACTGATAATATTGTCTTTAGAGAAGACTTAGCAGCATTATGATTGCTGGTCTCAACTTTCATATCATAAGGATAAATAAGTCAAAATATTCCATATGATCTTAGACTATACAAATGGAGGGGAAAGAATTCACCTACTAGTAATTAATTTCTATTCCCCCCAACCCTATAACTCGAGAGAAATTATTTGCCCTTCCTAAGGGCAGAGATTTCTTTTATAAAAGTAACTAGAGGCCCGGTGCACAAAAATTTGTGCACTGGGGGGGGGGGGGGGCGATGACAAAAATAATGGACACCCAACTTTATTGTTCTCCTTTTTATGGAATAAACATTGCAAAAAAATGGGCCGGGAAGGTGGGCGATAATACATAATGACTCGAGGAGAGTGGTGTAGGATGTTGTGTGAGGTTTAGTTGATGTGGCGTCGGTAAACATTTAGGGATGAATAGTCCAAGGAAGAATGTGTAAGAGCGTATTGTCCAAAACAATCATTTACCTCTGTGGCATAGCCGGGAGAAATAGAAAAGAAAATACATGTGAGTTCTTTAAAGATTTATTGTTTTGTTATTTCTTTTTTA